TTAATCATTGTGTATACCTTTCAATATAGTTATTGAATGTTTATTTGTAGAAACGAAGTTTGTTAACTGTAATTGTTCTTGTAAAAAAAAAAAAAAAGACTTGTAAAGAATTTTTAAAGGTCCTTATAGTTGGTCAGGAACGTGACCAGTAATCGTCAGGGTGGGCAAGTGGACTGGTTTGGTTTCTGGACCACATTTCACCTCTGACCCAAGAGGCTTCGGTAACTCGTACCTGGTCTACTGACGAGATGTTGAGTTCACCTGGTCCAGGTGTGCAGGAGGGGTCATTGTTGAGCAGTTGAGTCAGATTTTCAGTAGAGCCCCCCCATTTTCCAGATTATTGTAGCCCCTGGTGGCTAAATACCAGTACTAAAGTCAGCTCTTGGATGAAGAGGGTAAATACCCTCCAGAAACCATCCAACCAGTCCAGTTCTCACTTCTGACCAGTTCAAGATTAAACGACCAGGACGACTGAGAACCTACGCAGACAGAGCAGCACAGCTGAGACATTTAGCTACAATCTTCCACACGGAGTTCGACCTGTCTCTCCTGAATCTCGGTGCCTTTTTACTTTCACTACATCCAGTCTCGACGTAGACGTGTGGGTTTCCCTGGTGGCAGATAGTTGATCCAACAATAAAAGGGTAGTTGACATCTAATGAGTAGAAACTGTGTCGGTAATCCACGTGGTACTGTAATCTACGGGTAGTCTCTGTTAGACCTCCCAACCAGTAAGCTAAACTTCTTTCTTTTTAATGTAAATGCCAATGCGTACGATTTCCAGAGACGAGGAGCTATTGGACGTCATATGGTAAATCAACGTTGCGCTTCGTTGAAAAGAACTGGGAACATTTTTGTTCCACTTTCTACACAAATATTGGAAAAGCAATCATCTCAATCTTTCACTTCTTAATTTGACACAACAGCGCCCCTAGATGTGGTATCAAGAAGTTAGAGGGGAAAAAAAAGTTTAACCTAGTGCTCAACTTTGTTAAGGTGATACTCTGAGGTAATCTTCTTCGACAGGGGCTGCGTGGCCCAGGCCTGGAACCTCTATGCATACTTATATTCTACAGATTTTAAAATTACATTCAGCTCGAGTCGCACAGAGCAAAGAAGACACATTTATGACTTCAGGTTTTTCATGATATTTGCATGGTTGTTGCAAAAAGTCCTCTAGGGGGCAGTGCTGATTTCAGAATAAATTTCAAGGCTGACAACAGTTTCTCAGACAATAACGAACGTAATGGAGGAGGTGGTGATAAGGGTCCTTCAGGAAACAACAAACATTTTTGTTGTTGTTCTTTCATGGGGGCACGACACTGACCCCACAATTTCCAATGGTTTTTGTCCCGACTCATTTGCGGGGGCATGCGTCCATAAGTTCTTCGAAAACGTACCAAAAAACAAACTGTGGACAAACGCAAAGGCCGGAGGAAAGAATCGGTGTAAGGCTCAAATACTATCAAATACTCAGCTGAAGAAGAACGAGGGCAGTAATTTCGTGGGCAGTTGTCCAATCAGGGGTACAGCCACTTTCCCAAAAAACATGGTGTTCAGCTGCTCGATATCAGACTTAGTTAGAAGGACAGTAATCAGTTCCCAGAGTTGCTGGAACCTGGGAACATCAGTACTGCAGCCAGGAGTGTCCACAATCCTTCTTCATCATCAAAGTATCCGTTTGTAAAAATCCAAACCTTGTTTCTGTATCATCTGATTTCTGGTTTAGTTTTGGTGACGTTAGTGAAACATCTCCTTATACCACGGTAACAGCCTCCTGTCCCCTACATGTACGTTCAAGTAGAACCCCCCGCCCCCCAGTTTACTCACGGTCTTGGTTTGAAATCATTTCAATACATCTCGTACTTTTCTAGTACCGTAGCGGTGGTAACTATTTAAACACAATCCCATTGTGAAACGACGACACGATCGGTTTTTGTATCTTCACTGACGTAGATTTGCCCCAACAGTGGCGGGAAAATCATGGGAAATAAAAATGGTCAGTATTTGGAACAATATAAGGCAAAATGAAAAAAGCCAAAAAAAAAAAAAAAAAGGAAATCTCAAATTATTAAGGTGACTATCATTGTGTAATATTTATTATTCATCTTGTAATTTATGTACTCTTTTAACCTTTGTCTTTTTTGTTATGACAAAGCATTTATTTAAATAAAGTTATGTATTCATGTAAACATCCTGGTCCCAAGGTTCTTTTCTGATGCAACCCATCCTAATGGGGGAGGGTTGGGGGGTGGAGGCTGGGGGGGCATTTCTTCCATGACAACAGTTGTCCTTACCAAAGGTACTAAATCAGGCAGCAAAGGATGGAGGAACTAGGGCTGGGCATTGGCAACAATCTGACGACAATTCGCAACAATACGATATATATCACCCTACACTCGGATACTTTAGGCACACTGATAAATTTAGGGGCGGGTTGGTCATTTTTATTCTCTGTTGGGTTCCAGGAAAATGGGACGCATCGTTACAGGGGAACCTGAGAGCCCAGAGTGGAGGCTTTGACCAAATGCAGATGTTGGTGATTGGAAGCAGGGCATTAAAGGGTGTAGGGTAAAGAACGGTTCCTGTACTACAGATCAAGGCTGCCGTAAAGGTGTGTGTGTGTGTGTGTGTGTGCAAGCACAAACATCTACTCTGAGGTAGGTGGGGGGGGAGGGGTCGGAGGAACACATGCAGCAGATTTAATGTGAACATGACAATTCCCGTTTGCCGTTAAAGAAACTGACAAATGCACTTACGACTTCAAAGGCTGTCAACCAACTTTATTCTATAATTAGACCAATTTCATCAGATGACTTTGGACAACGTTGACTCACGCACATCGCCCTCGCCAGTCTCCGCTGCGGCGCGGAGCAGCTCCTCTGCAAATAGGTCAGATTCTCTGCCTCCCTTGTGCTGCCGCTCTGAGTTCAGTCCTTTGAAGAAACAAACGATCAGCGCGGTGACTTCACTAACGACGACTTTGGAGATGCTCACGTCGAGTTCCAAGACAAAGGCTTACAAATGGAATGCAGATGTTTGCACTGCATAATTGGGATCTTTGCAAATCACTGGTTGTGCCCATGTATCATGGTATCTGTTAAGGCTGTAATGGTGGTTGTTTTCATCACCGGGATAAAGATGAAAGCAGATCCGAAATACTTCACAGCAGTTAGGAGTAAATCACATGACGTAGTCTGGGAATTTGCCCGTACTGCTAGTGGAATATGGCAGACAAGTGTCTACTGGGTTCTATCCAAGGCCTTTCATCAAAGATGGACTTAGAC